AGGTAAAAATCTGAAGCCCTGAGTTCAAGAGAGGGACACTGCAGAACGAATGTGGGTGGAAGCCTGCCTCCAGAACTGAAAAGCTTTTGGTGGTGGGGTCATTCCAGGTTTACGGTAACACTGAAGTATGACGTGGGTATGTACAGACCTTTTGTGAGTCTAGTCTTTCTGTTACTTCTAAGGATAAACAATGCTTTGTTTTATAGAAATTATTGCTCCTGAGAGATTGAAGTTATTGAAGGTGAGGGGCTGCTTCCAGAGACTAGTGAGTGAGATGTGCAATTGTGGGATTCCTGCTTGAGAGAAATAGGAGCCGCTGAATGGGATCAAGCCACTGGTCCATCCAGGCCAGTATCTTGTCTCTAATGATTAGCAGCAGCTGGCAAGGAAGAACAGGGCAAACATACACGGATGTGGCAGGCAATTCTTTAGCCACAAGCAAGTAACTTTTGGTTTAATAGCCCCAATGGATTATTATGAATTTATCTAATCACCTTTTGCAGCCATCTGAACTTTTGGCATAAACAACCTCCTGTCATGATGAGTCCCACAGTTTAACCACAAGCTGTGTGGAAGAAGAGCTCCTTCCATTTGGTTTGATGATTTCCACTGAGCTCCTCAGTTCAGAAGAAAGCCTGTCACTTCAAAGCTTGCACTCAAGAGAGTCTTAAACATTGTCAGTGATTACCATGAAACAGAAGGTAATGCTAAACCAGCTTTTACGTGGCGTAAAGTTCAGCATTAATTGGCAGTTTACATCTCCGTGTTTAAAACCAGTGAACTTTGAACATTATTCCCGTAAAGTTTCCCTCATTTGGTTCCAGAGCTCTGCCACTGTACACTGTCCAGCGATAAGGCCTATAGGTATTGCTTTCTTTCACTTGGGAGATCTGTTTCTCCGGAGAATTTCCACCAAGAAGTGGTGACTAATTCGATCATGAGGTGCGCATATGGTGACACCCCCTGCTGTGAACAAAAATAAGCTTTCCTTCACACAGAAGTTGATTTTATCATTCCTCTGACTCTCTCAAACCTCATCTTCTTCATTCCCAGTGCAGTCTTCTTCCTATTAGGGATTATTCTTTCTCCCTCTTGTTTCCAAAAAAGGCTTCATCCACGCTAGTGCCCATTCTCCTTGCATAGAGGCCTTTTTCCACTAAAGCCACGGCTTCTTAAATCACTGATTAGAGCTGCTTTTACATCCCACACATAGAGAGCTTCCATACTGCAGCGTGTCTTTCATCTGTGTCCACATCAGGAGTCTCCTTGACAAGTTTCCAGACAAGCCTGCTTGCTAATTTATTTGATTTGTGGTGGGACCAGCTACTGGCTGTGTTGCAGCTTTCCTAAGGCTTAAGGCGCTGTTCTGCCAGCCTCCCTCTTGTGACTAATCCCTGTCATTACACACTCAGGGGAGCAACAGCTTACGTTCTGCGTTTATGAGTTGAACAGGGGATCTAAAAGCACGGTACTGCAAGAAGACTCTGAATATCTCATATTGGGATGGTGGAAACCAGGTCTAAGACACTTCTGCCCGGTCTTCACTGTGTACGAGTACACAGTGATGTTTGCACTTGCAAAACATCAAAACGCTTTGACTTGCCTGGGTTTGATGGCATTGCAAAAGGACTTTTATATTAAGAGAGCTAGGACAAAAATTGGGGTTTTACTGATCCCAGTATTCATTCGGGCTTGTTCTTCTGCTAGCATTTCCATCTACTTCAGTGTGTGCTGAATTAGCTCTTGGAGTAGGAGTGACAATCCATGAGGTAGGATATAAACATCATATGGCTTCCTACTACTCTGGAAGGTACTCAGGCACACGATCATAGGCATGGTACAAGAACAAAATAAAAATGTACTGATCAGTCTTTAAATCCAGCCATCCTAAAAGGCACTCCTCTCATGTTGTGCTGCATTTGCTCCTCCAGTGTCTGTGGATTTCAAGTTATTTCATTATTGTTTATTATAACAGCCCCAAACAACTGAAATGAGTGCAAGTACTGCAGTGCCTGGTGCTGTACATTGTTTCTAAACTTGCTGTTCCAGAGGCCTTCCCTTAACCATTGAACTAGATACCTCCACAGGCAGCACAGTATCTCAAGGGGAGGAGGAGTTACAATCACTGCATTACTAATGGGAAGCTGGAGCTCAGCCACATGACAACTTTTGCAGAGTCCTTGAAGTATGCATGACATTCTCACGACTTGCCAAGATAAGCTAGGAAGTCTGTGACAGCACCTGCTAGAGAGTCCAGCTCTGTGAAATCCTGGTGAACTAATTAATCCATAAATGTCCTGTGAAATACCTGTATCTCAAAAAGCAGCACTTATCTACAGCCCTGCCTCGGGTACAGCCAGGTACCGAGAGGGAGGTTAGGTGTCTCTCCTACAACTGCAGGGAGCCTGGGTGCATCAGAACAGGAAGAAAGAAACAACTCTGGTCCTGTGGTGGTGAATTTCATACTGCAAAACGGGACTGCAGGCAGTAATCCGTTATTTCTCTCAATTTTCATGGAAATTCATTGGTACAACCCAGATGGGATGTACTGTTTGGGAATCCATGACGCTTTGGAAATGGTATAAATTGGAAGAAAGACAGGAACTAACATACTCCTACAAACATGCTGAAATGAAATTTAGGCCACTCTAGCCAGCAGCAGGTCAGCCAACTTACGAGTTTCTGGAGCTAAGATAGAGAAAGTGCTTTCTGGTGTCAATTTTTATATCTAATACTTTTGATTTCCCTCTTATTGATACTTAGTGACAGCAGCAGAACTGCAATTACATGTGAGCAGACATTATCTTCCAGAAGAGCTCTCCCATGGGTCAGCCTGACTGAGAAGCGAGAGAGCTATGCATAAACTTAAAGAATTTAGGGACAGTTAGAAAATCCTTGTTATTCATCATTTCTACAATTGCATTGTAGCCAAAGGGCTGCAAGCATCTTCGTTTCAAAGTGAGTTAATCTAGAATCTCCTTTTAAGTAGATTTCTGTTGTCCAGGTAATCTGGGGATTAATTCTGCAAATTTATGTACTGCTGACATGAAGGAGCTGCTTGTATAGAGAGTTGGGAGAAAGGAATATGTTACTTTTGTTAGTTTCCATTCTTCTCATAAGTTCCCGATTTTGTTATTTTTTGCCTTTTTTGTGACTAAAAGCACACTTCAGGGCTTTTAGCATACAAGTCTAGCTCATCATCTAGTAATACATCTATAAGCGGGTTTTTTTCTGCCGGATAGAGAATGGTACACACCGTCAATACTGCCCATTCCAAGCCTGGTTCACCCGGTAACCCTAGCTGCTGGGGCTGCAGCTTGGGATGGGCAGCACAGTCTGCCTGTCCCGCCTGCCCCCGTGACCTGCCTGCAGGAGAAGACAGCACTGGCAGTATTTGGAAGGAATGATGGGAAAGGAGGGAGCAGAGCTGCCGCCTGTAGTGTGTGGACCACTGGGGAAAGAACTTCAGCCATTGAAATGTCTCACTGTGCCTTTGCAGCTTTTAGCTCAAGAGTTTAGGATCTGCTCTAAATCAAGTGTTTGTGGGTTGTCTTCACATCACGGAGCGGTGGCTCAGTGTCAAATGGTGGCTCAAGTGTCATGGATTTAATGGGGCAAATTAGGCCATGTGTACATGCCATCACCCAATACAGCTCAGTGGCATGTGCAAGGCACAAGTAAAGTGTCAGGAGGACATGCTGAGCTTCTTGCCTAATTGCTCACTTATTATCTGAATGGAAGTCCCAAAGCTTCTAACCAAGAGCTTGGGGAAGTTCCAGCCAATGTCCTTTTCTCTTGGACCCTGTAATCTAGTATTCAAAATCAAGAAGGTGTAATGACTGAGCAGGCCAGAACAGCTGGAGTCCTGGGGTTCCTGGCATCTCACTGGCTTATTTCCATTTCTGACAGTGGTAGGACTCTTCTTGGGCAGGTTGCAAATCTCAGGCAGGAATCCCACAGTTCTCATATGTGCTGACAGGTCACAGAGCCAGTGTTTAATGATTGCATTTCCAGATGCGGGAGGAATGAAGTCTCAGGAATTTCCCCGATATCGCTGACTCCCTGATAACCTCTCTTTTTTTTTCTATGCAGGCTTGCCTGAATCCCTCCTACCTTCTTCAGATGGTTTGAGCAAAGAACACATCAAAGATGTAGACACATCTCTCATCAACTAAATACCAGCAACCAGATTACCTGAAGTAATTTTCTGCCTGCCTGCCACTGGGAAGAAAGTGCCTTCAAGGGTTCTCATTGTGTACCCCGAAAGTACACAGCATAACAGCCCTTGAGTAAACAGAGGCAAAATCAGCATCCCCCATCCTCCTCACTGAAACACTCTGTGTTCACAATAAAACCCCCGCTTTGATCTCTTGCCAAGAATAACACAGACAGTCTATTAAAACATCTTTAATAACATGATATAATTAAAAATATCTAATGTGCAACTCAAAGAAATGAATATGAAGCTTGTTTAAATCTGTTTCCACACCCCTCCAAACTTGACTGACAGGTTCCAAACCTTCATTAATTGGCCTGAACATTTATGAATACCCCAATATTATAGGGGAGGGGGTATGTCCTATATATGAGTTGGGAGCACAAGGGATTAATAATCAGATTTGAAAGGATTTGGGTGCCATGGTAGCTTTAAAAATCCTGCAAGGCACATCACTGCATCTGTGAGCATTTTAATTTCTGTTTAAAGTGGTCTGAAAAGCATTGGAGACACTCGTCCCTTAGGCTTTTAACAGCCTGTGTGTTTAACTCTCTGAAGCAATCCAAGAAGTGAACTCTAAACACTTTAGTCCAAGGACAGTGTTTGTCTGATTCGATCCCTTTTCTTCACAACAACACAGAGAATTTGTACAGCACCTCATGTTTTAGATGAGCAGAGCAGACCAGAGGAGCTGGAAGGACTGCCAAGTCCCAGAGGAATCCTGAGTACTGGATTATAAAGTAACTCTGGTCACAGTCTAATATGAGAGTAATTGGACTGACAATTAGGAAAGCTTCTGTTCCTGGGTCTGCTCTTGTCTAAAGGACAATGTTAGATGAGATAACTTCACTTTCAGAGTCAGTGAGACAAGCAGTTCAGTGTGAATGAACAAACTGGTGAACCTTAGCCCAGCATGTACCCTCTTTTAGCTGATGTGAAATTAAATGTGTTAATTTAAGTCCTGGTTAAAGAGTTTAAATTGACAATTTTAACCCTGAGTTGCCATGACTCAGCTGAGAGACAGGAACTCAGCTGTGTGTCTGTGCCCTTTGTTTCTCCTTTGATGCTCTGCACATTTTGTAGAGACCAAGACTGAAAAGCATTGCTTTTGAAGGATTCTTGGTCAGCAAGAGCATTTGCTGGAAGGGATACATGGATGCTGTCACTGAGGTGGAAGAACAGACAGATCAATAGTAGCAGGGAGAAAATACCTGCTTTTTCCCTTGAACATGGAAGCAAGTTGGCAGTTATATTCAGACTATATTTTTAATGCTGTTCCATTCTTCACTAATGACAATACTGCAGGTATTGTCTCTCTTGTGGGCACAGAAGAGGGCAGAGCTCTTTTTTCAGGCACAACGTCTCCTGATTAGACAGGATTATTCCATATTAACTTTACAATAGCTCAGGGCCTGCCTGCTCAGAGGCATTATTTCATTAGGTTGACATGAGTAATCTCAGCTGTAGCCCAAGCAAGATCAGTGCAGGCTGCTCTCATTTGGAGAACGAATAGCTTGCCATCCACCAGGAATCATAGGTTTCCTGCGGAGCAGGATCTGTTGTCTCAGTACAGTAGTGGAAGTGCTAGCAAGTTGAAATAAGGCACTGAGGCTCTGGGAGTCCTGCAGGAAAATCACTCGCAACCTCCAGTGACTTACACCTGTGTGATTTCTGTATGTACCCTATTAACTGCCCTCTGGCAAGAGTATTGAGTCCCAGAATAACTGTCAGTTGTCATCAAAAACACTGCTGTTCCTGTTATTGAAGCTGTTTTCCTTGACCATCACTCGGTATGAGATGCGCATGAAAGAGCCGGTGAGCAGCATGACAAAGACGATAAGGAGCAAAGACCAGACCCCAGGTTCAATCCCCTTGAGGAAGCTTGGGCTGTCCTGGGGGATGGTGTTGGTCAGACTCAGCAGGTACCCAAGAGTCCAGCCGGATGATGTATCACCCATCTATTGAAATAAAAGAGGAGGAGAGGTCAGAAGAGAAGGAGATAGTCTGGATCCAGCTGTGTTTCTGTGCACATGCCCAAGACCTCCTGTACTTTGTTTGAGACTGATACAAGGATTAGACTTGAAATGAGGAGCTCTCCCACTGTCGGTGCCCAGAGTGCACTAATAGGCCTTAATTGCCCTGACCAGTCTCACCTGGGACATCTACCTACGCCCTCTGCCCATGGGCCTGGGAGCTCCATTTAAGCTCTGGCCTGGGCAGTTACTTTTTTTTCCTGAGCTGTGCTGTGCTTGTGTGTTCTTTCTGCTTACTGACTGGTTTTCCTGGGTGGACCTCAGGTCTACATTGTGGGTAGTTCTGTCTCTGGCCCTGTTGCCTGGTTGAATCTCAGGCACATGTTATAGATTGCTTGTCTCTGGCTTTCCAGGCTGGGTTCCCTGGATGGACCCTGGACCTACCTCATTACCTTGCCTTAGTCTGATTATCACCACATAGCTGACTGAACTGCTATCACAACGTGGCCCTGCTCAATGGGACCATGCCTTTGCTGGTGAGTTGTGAAGAGGTCTGGGAATAGGCTTTGTTTTCTTTTGTGAAGGGGAGGACCTGAATCAAATCTTCCTTAGGAGCTCCAGATCCTGAAGCAATTTCAGACCTTATGAGCCAGTTATAAACCCTCACTAGCATGAAGGTGATTGCAGAGAGGTAGGGCAGCGTGTTTTGGCTCAGGAAACATTATCAGTAGTTTGTCCTTAGCATTAAGTGGTGATCAAGCCATACTTCCTTCCTTACTGGGCACAGACTCTTAAAGATGGTATTGCTCCAGAAAAGGCTTTTGACCCATCTATTTTTCAGTGGGGACAAGTGTAATCTCTAGCTCTCTGACACTAGTTTTCTTGCATATCACAACTGTGACTTTATTTTGCAAAAACATCTTGCTGGAGAAACCCAGCTGGTTAGGGCTTGTAGGAGTGGGGACAGGCTGGCTTTACTGAAACCAACCCTCCCTTGTAATTAGAAATACCACAATATAGGTAACTGACCTTCTTCTGGAATGCAGTCCAGATAGACCCATCAAAGTCAAATGTGTATCCCTTTGTACTGAGATGAAAGATGAAGGCAGACACAATACAGTAATCAACAAGTGTATCCAGGCTTTTTTGGGACTCCTTAACCAGCTGGTGTCATTTCCAAAAGAAGATGGGGAAAAAAATACAAGAAGTAAATATTCAGTAGCTGAATTTCAGGCCTCCTGTAACTTTTCTTTTCTGCTGTGGGACTGACTGTGGGACTGGAGGAGGGGTTTGTGTCTGTGCAGACTGAAACCATGTTTCCTGTACCCACTGGGCTGTGGTCTGGGAACAAATGTCATCTCTTAATGCCTTTGTACCCATCTTATTAAAGACCAGGCAGTTCCAAGAGCAGCAGGACTGGCAGCCACGTGTCCTACAGTTGCCTTGCAGGTGAACTGCTTGGTATGATTCTCTGCTCTCTAATTAGGTTGAGCTAATGCTGCACCCTTTCTCTCAATAGGAGCATTAACAAGATCTTCTATACAGAAGGGAAAGCTTTAGGGAACTGCTTATGGGCTTTGCTACCCTGTTAGCAAACCCTGTAGAAATTGTCCAATTTGAATGCTTGGTCAGTGTAGGTGCAAATGAGGGTGACCTCATAAGCCACCAACTGAGAGAAAGAACTTATAAATTCCCCCTGGCGTGGTCTCCATGGGCCCAGGTGAAATGTGAAAGACCCTGGAGCCTGAGTGGATGTGTTCCTTGCTCTTAAGGAGAGGAGGATAACAGGAAGACCAAGGTGATGTACAGGACTGAGTGGACAGCCTTCCTGTTTACTCCTTAATATGCAGTAAAAGGTACTTGTGGCTTTTCATTTAAGTCCAGGTGTTACCAGCAGCAGCTGGGATTTGAGAGGAAGGAAAATAAGTGGAGCCTGTTTCCTCAAAGTAAAAACAAACAAATAATAAAAAAACCCCCCAAACCAGGCAAATACTAATTTTTTCCCTGAGGGAGCCAGTAAATTATGGCTCTGTCAGTCTGAGCCCCATGGGCTTTTAAAACAGACTGTTCCTTGCTTCCCACTCTCCCTGCACACTAAGTTATTCCACAGTTACCTCTTTGATGGACATCCCACAAAGCCTGTTGACTGCCTGACCCAAGTCAGGAGAGGGTACAGTTTCTCTCATGAAGTCCATGGCCTCAGAAATCACCTACAACAGCAGGAGAAATAATCATCAGGTTGGACTGTGCCCTGCATTGCATACAGTGCCTATAGGAAAGTAAGTGGCAGTAGCTGTGGGGTGCATTGCCAGGGTGCCCTTTCTGCGTGCCTGTGTTAGGGCTTACAGTGCCTCTGATGGGTGCAAGGAAGACAAGCAGATCTGCTACTCTCTGGAGATGGAAACAGGACTGTTTCTAGCTTGTGTGCAGCAGCCTTCCTGGCCTGGCTAAGTAGACCGGTCCTTAGGTTCCTTGGCACCATGTCCATGGGAGGCTCTCAGGAGCAGGGAGGTGGGGAAATTTCTGTAATTCTTCCCTCTGAAATGCACTCAGTTTGTCCTAGGATCTTGAGCTGGTCCTGGCTTAACCCAATGACTTTGGATGCTAAATCTAGGGTCTTAGATATAAGCATGTTTGTGGTGGAGCATGCCCAGATGTTTGCTAAGGGAGTGGCACAGGATCTTCAGTTTTACCACAGACCTTGTGGGGGAAGACCTGCTCAGCATGCAACTCCTGGCTGTCCTATCCCTGCTGGCTCTGTGGATGCCCAAACTTTGTCTCACAAGCAGACATTGCTGAAGCATGGATGAAGAAAGACCTACCACAGTCATTGGTGGGAAGCCTGTGGTCTATATTTGAACAGCTATGTGCCAATGAGGGGGAGAGGGCAGGAGTGCATGTGTACAGCATTAGCCAGGGCATTGGCTCTCTTGGCTAGCAGAGGGCACAGCATGGCTGTTCCCACTGTATTTATTAATGATCAAACTGGTCCCATTTCATGGGTTCTCTGTACTAGTTGCCTACCCCAGTGTAAATGAGAACCCACCAGGAACCTGGTCCGGAGGGGCTTGAAAACACTGCTGAGGGAATGCTTGAAGAAGCTGCAGGAAGAAGAAGAGTTGAGCAGGCTTTGCACAAGCCTTATGCAGGCAGTGGGATTGCTGGAGCCAGTGATGTTGAAGACCTCCTCAGCGCCAGGGATGTCCAATGCGTCATCACTGAGAGCACAAGGCCCAGTATGCACTGATTGCCACTGCACTTCCCGGGAGTAGGTGAGGGGCCAGCAGGGATTAGACACAGTTTTAGCACTTCTCTGATCCTAGAGCAGAATAAAACAAGGACAGAGGCAACAAGAGAGGAGGTTGGCATCCCAGAGTTTCACAAAGGAAGACAAAATGTAACACGGTGAAGAACAGTTTGCCTCTGGCACCACAGTATTGTAATTGAGCAGGCAGGCTGCAAAAAGTTTGCCAAACCTTATCTCAGGTAGCCAACTGCAAGGCCCAGACTGATGCAGCAGGCTCCCAGCTCCTGAGTTCAGGGCAAGCTGCAATAACTGGACCTGCTGTGGGAGGCTGAGGAGTCCCAGCCCTACCTGCTCTCCCTTAGACCAGAAATACATTTTCAGTGAATCCTGTACTCTTTCTAGTTGCAAGAAAGAGGCTGTTCTGGTCTGCCTTCCAAATGGCTCAACCCCTTAAGAATCAGTGTTTCTTATCTCTAGGAATTCCCAAATATAACTGTGGTGAAGTGGGTCTGCATGTGGGACGTTCAGATCTCAACTAAGGGGAGGTGTGGTTTATAGGGAGGCAAGCAGATGGGCAGTGAGTAGTTTATTTCTGAAAAACTTAGTTTTGGTGGAGACTAAAATGATTCCTGAGTTTGCATCAGATCCTGTCCCCCCCATGTGAAATAAAGTTTGGAAGAAAAACCACCATGTTTTCAAAATGAAATATTGTTCTTTTAAAGCTGCTACAGGGTTAAAGACAGCAAAGGAAATACCCCAAATGGAAGGTCCCAGTTGGTTTCTGGGTGCTGTTGTTTAGCTTCCCCTTCTAGGGTGGAGGAGCAGTTCTGAGGAGCCAAGGGAAGTCTTTGCCTCCCTTCAGCCTGAAAATTATCTTAGCACCTCTGGAGAGCAATTTTGTGCTCATGTGTATTAAATAAGGAGCCAAATAGAGCCTGCAAGTAGGAAACTCTTGAATGGGTGCTTGCATGTCTGCTTGGAGGGCATTGATTTGGGCATAGAGACTATGTTTTACAAATGCACTGGGCTTTTTTAGATATATGCAAATACCCTCTGTTAAAGACAGTGATTGACATTTTGCCCATTAGAAGCTACACCTTGTGTAACTGCCATTTAGTGATACCATATCCAGGAACCTTGCAAATGTCCTTCTGGCAGATACTCACTTGAATGAGCATAGAAAGTAGTCTACTGCGGAGCTGGTCTGTGCCATGGCAGGGGCAGTGACGAGTGTACACGTTGTGCATCTGCCCATACAGCTGCAGCCTCACTCCCTCTTCTGGTGCCTGGTTCTCTTCTACCTTGGAAGTGAGCTGTATTGAGGTTCCTCCCACAGACAGGACTCCTGCCATCCCCTTTTCAGAGGGGACCAACTGTCCTCGCCAGTCGTACTGACCCAAAAAGAACCAGAGAGGTAAGTTCTTAAGACTTCTACATCTGGGTTGCAGTCAAATGCAAGCATTAGTGCACAGAGTGAAAGCAGCTTTCTGGTGCAGTACAGCCCAACTTTTTTTTTTTTTTTTTTTGTCCACAGGACATACAGATGCTGAATTGGTGGCTTTGGAGGGAGCAAAGGAGCCATTGTACAAGCAATGCCATCTGCTCAGAGAGTTCCCCACAGCCAGCAAGAGCAAACAGGGCTCACCATCCTGGATGTCCACTGCTGTTCGAAGCAGTGGTCTCAGCAGGTAGGAGCAGGGGAGAGAGGAGACGGTGGTGGTGGTAGGGAATGGGAGGGGGGTTTCCAGGTGGGCAGGTATGGGCTTCAGGTGCTTCCTTGATGCTAAAGTGATCCTCCTGTCAGAAGAACACTGTGGTTTCATCTCCTGCAGTCTTGCAGAACTGATTTTGACAATGCTGAAGTTAGCAGTACAGGCAGGGAAGTTTATGTGGGTGTAAGCACTCTGTCCCTGGCTGGGGGAGGCTGTGTTGCTGCCAGCAGGGCTAGCAATTCCCTAACCAGTACATGCTTGCTGCTGGTTATCAGAACTGCTTTTCACTTCCCTGATGTGGAAAAACTCAGTCTAACCCACCTTTTTCTTGCACTTTGAGTTCTTTTTGAGACCCTTTGGTTTGAGAAGCTATGGGTTGAGCAAGGAAACTTAAATGTATTCTTTTTGTTTAGCAAGTGCCTTCTGAATACAGACCAGGCCTCTATGCTGGGGACACCCAGCTATACTCTCACTAGCATCTCAATGAAAGGAAATTTGATGGGCTTTTGCTTTGGCAGCAAAAGACTCTGCTTCTCTGTCCACCATCCACAGGATGTCCTGTGGGACAGCTGGACTCCAGTGGCAATCCCACAGCACCCCACAGACAGCAGCAGTGCCTATTTGACAGTGATGCTGAGCTAGAGCTGCAGGGACTCAGAGCAGTGGAGTTCTTGTTGACATTCTGGGCTAGGCTATGTAAGGTCATCTATGTGAGCATCCTGGATGTGTTGCCCAGAAAACCTCACATCTGTTAGGGCAACTGCATGAACATGTCCATGAAAGGCTATATTAGAGTTTCGGTTCTTCAATCTAGTTATAACCATCTCACATTATGTCCCCCAACCAGCTGGTGTTGGATATAACCTGCCTCCTCTGAAAGGCCATGGAAGTTGTGCTTAAGCATTGTTTAAAGTAAAGGGTTTTAACAGTCCCTCCACATGTCTCTGTGGCTGTTTGTTAATGGGAGTTGCTCAGCTCAGTTCTGTACTCCCCAGGCAGGATTGTCCTTTACCTTGAAGAAGTTCTCCAGGACATAGTTAACAGCAACCCAATCAAATGCTTCCTTGTCTGGACTGGACAGGATCTTTGCCCCCTGAAAGTCAAAGGGGGATGACTTCAAGGCCACAGTCAGGGCTGCAAGGTGATGAGTGAGGCTAAACAGAAAAGAAAAAGAAGACACACTGGTTTTTACAGGACCCTGCCAGGAGCAGCCTGCAGTGGGGGCACAGCTGCAGGGTTTCTGCTGAGCTCCCCACTTTGGGTAGTAGCACAGAGGCACAATGACATTGCTGCCACTTCGCTCTCCCCTCACATGGCACCGGGGGCAAGAACAGCAGAGGGATGATTTGAGCAGTTGTGCCACCATTCAAGAATTTGGGAGTTTAGTACCCTCTGTCACTGAGGGAACCCTGTGGCCTTGCCCCACTGACCTGGTCCCCTCCAGACCTTACTTTTCCCCAGTGTCTAAAAGGAGATAAAGGTGCCAATAATGAGGTGACTAAGAACAGTGTCCACAAAAGTGTGTATGATAAGGTGGATCTTCCCGCTGCCATTTCCAACCTGCTGACAAGAAGCATCCCTGAAAGCCCATGTGAGTTGTCACATAAACTGAAAACACTTTAGCTTCCAGACTGACAGGGGTTTTTTTGCCAAGCACTAATTGTGAAGAAGACTTTACACAGACTGGTAGCAGTAGCAAGACCATCATCCTCATGGCTGCTTGGGGGGACAGTATGGAGACACAGCTATGCCGTACTCCCCTTGAGTACATTGGGACCTGAAGAAGGTTTACCTGACTAGCAGATTAGGGATGAAACACTGCAGAGCAGACAGGGTGAGATGCATTTACAGAATGATCCACATGACACGTGCTGATCTCTGGGTGTGGGTTTGCAACATTCACTCACTTCATCTGCCTCTTGCTGGTGGTTGCTCCCAAGTAGAGGGGTGTTTGGCTGTGCTGCTCTGCTGGGATCTCCTTCTGGGCCCAGTTCAAACATGGCTCCAAGCTCTTCCCTACTGTCTGAGGAGAATCTGAGTAGTTGGAGACTCCTGGACCTGAGGACCAGGGGAAAGAATGAAATTTTCTAGGGAAACATATGGGAGAAGTGCGAGAGCTGTTACTCAAGAGGTTGCTGTCCTAGGGCATGGGTAAAGACAGGACCTGTCGCAGGTGGAATGGAGTTCCTCCATGTAGCCGTCCTGCTAAAATATGGTACTGGGAGCAAAACACATGTGCATGTAAATCCCAAATGGCACTAAAAGTACCCTGGCTCTGCTGCTGAGACATCCCGTAAATGACCACATATCAGCCACGTGACTGCTGCAACAGCTGAGGCTGTCTCAGCCCACAGAGGAAGAAATGGGGCTTTAGCTGCTATAAAAGATAGCAGAAGGACACACTGCCATGCAGGCAGAGCTGAGGCTGATGTGTCACCTCCCTCCTCTAGCCACTTCCTCTTGTGTTGGAGGAGCCATCTTCCGAGTCCCGCACCAGCAAGCAAGACACCTCTGCTCTAGAGGATGCTGGTGCTGTGCGGAGAGAAGCTGTGTGCAAGCATTGACTCATCTTTCCAGCAGATTTAATGGATTCTTAAACGCTGGTTTTGAACTACTACCCAGGAAGAGCCTCACTTCCCCATGCTCTGGCCCACTTGCCTTCCTGGCTGTGTGACTCCCTCACCATGTGCTCTGCTTTCCTGGGCCCTGTATAGGGCTGAGCTGCAGCTTGCCTATGGCTACTTAAAGGCTGTGACCACGCTGCCATGCAGACAGAGGACTACTTCTCACATCTGGGCGAGACACCTGCCTGGACTTCTTGTTGCTGCTGCTGACAAACTGCTGTACCGAGCTACAGTTGCTGTTCTTAACCCAGTGAAGATGGCAGCAGTCAAGGGACACATACAAGGTTTCAGGGAACACTTATTGCATCTTCTGTATGTGGTTTGTATTGCTTACAATCTGCAAGGGCACAAACTCCCTTCCCTGCTTCTTGTGCAGCTGCCTTCCTACAGCACTGCTACTGGGGGTTCAGGGTTTCCCAGAATCCTGCTATAATCAGGCTTCAACATCAAAGCAAGATTGAGAGGGAAGTTAAACCCTGAGCATTAATGCATGAAGCCCTTTCAGCTGCCTTTGGCAGGGCCAAACTGATTCAAACTAGTGAAGAAGACCCTAATATTCTCCAAAATGTGAGACCTAAAACCAAGCTGAACTCATGCTTGTGCTGTCAAACCCCACATAGGGGGCTGGAGTCTTTGCATCTCTGTTGTCCTGACTGTACTCTGGGCACTAAGTGGTGTAGCTGCAGGACGAGGCAGAGGATACGAGGAGTCATCCTGCAACCAGATTTGTCTCCGTTGCTGTTAGATGTCCTGCCTGGGTGAGAAGATCTGCAGCCTTGGCTCTGCCACTGATCCATGTGGACATCAGGATGAACCCCATCCTCCCTGTGTGCTTCCCTCCCTGCAGCAGGCCAAAACTCCTGTCACCTGCTACTGCTAAGTGCTCTGACATCCAGCTGTGTATGGCTAAATCTGCCCATGTTGAGAAGACTCATGCTGAAAATAAGCAGCTTGTGCTTCACTATCAACACTGCTTCAGTGTACAGCTAAATGGTACAGGAGCTGAGGAAATTGTGGCAATGGTCCACGCACAGATCTCTGGGTTTCCATCCATCCCATGCCAGTCCCACAGACCACCAAACATGAATCAGGCACCTTACCTTGCACAGGACAGGAACTGCATTCTCTGATTACCCCAGTCTTGTTTGCCTTGGTGGTGGTCCACTGGTAGATGAACAGGATGGTGTGGGATGGGCCAGCATCCACAACAATGCCATACTGGAAAACCCCAAAAACATTCTAGATAAACATCACTGAATGCATGCTGCTTTGTTATTGTAGGGTAACTCAGCATTATGTAGGTATTCTGGGTAACCCACGGGCCTGCACTGCAGTATTTGAGTTAGTTTTTTATGTTCAAAGAAAGGGTGAAGCCAGAAGATGATGTGGATCTGCAGGGAACCATCTGCATTTCTGAATATACATGAGGAGCAGCAGGAGTGGAGAAACACCCAGAAATTCAGCAGACCTACAGTGGCATGCTCTGTAGCTGTTCCTGAAATCAGGTAAAGGGCTTCCACTAAGAGCTAAGCCACCTGGAGCTCAGGAAAAACAGGTCCTAAAGCAGTGGGAGATGGCACTATACAGGCTCTTGAATGATTCTGGGACTCAGACTGATGCTGGATTGGTTTGCTAAGGCTTTTGTGCAGGAATTGGAGGGCTGTGGCTTGCTCCTACTTCTGAGGAACCTGAGACTCCCTTATCTGTTTGATGCCCCACTGCAGAGATGGTGTGCCACAGGCTGGGTTTGCCTTGGTGCATGCCAGACCTGTAGGAGCCACAGCACACTGGGATCAACCAGCACATACGCTGTCCAATGCAGCAGCCCCACAGAGACCAAGACAATGTCTTGGCAGAAACAGCAGCAGCAAACATGAGATTTCTCAACACCTTGTCCACTGACAGTTCTGTTGCCTAGCAGTGAGGCCAAGGGCTTTCTTAGTCTCTATGCAGCCCAGCGCTTGGTCTATTTGCTGCTGATCGAGCCTTGCTGAGCTGCACCTCATATGCGAGGGTTAGGAAATGAGACGCAGCTGGGGTACCCTGCAGCACTGCTCTCTGTGGCTGTTCTGGACATCCCCACACTCAAAATAGCCCCAGTGCTAGCCTATGGTCTCCCCCTCTCCCCCTTATTATATGACCCCAATCTGGGACATCTACACAGACAGGAAAGAAACTTGTGAGATCTGGGAGGTATGTGGTAATGCATGGTCTAAGCTGTATCTTGCACAGAAATAGTTGTAGCTGTGACTGAGTGGGAGGAGAAACCTCCTGAGAGGTTGATGTTAACACCATCAGAAGGGTTTTAGCACAAGACAGAGCCTGGCTGCAACCTCTGAGCGAAGCTACCTGGCTGCCTGCAGCCTTCCTGGGAGCTCCCAGCTGCACCAGACACAGCACCCAGGACTGGAGCTGGAGCAGAAATGCGGAAGGAGGATGGAGGTCCCTGCCCAAGCCTGCTGGCATCCTCCCCCACAAGTGACAGCTCGTATTTCTCGCAGGGACATGTCGGCTGCCGCAGAAGAGGAAGAAACAAATGGTATTGGTGGAGAAACCTGGATTTTTTTTCCTCCTTCACAAAATGAGAGGCTGCTGCTGGGAGTGCAAGGGATGAGAATGGATCACCGCATTTCTGCCCCAGTTCAACACCAGGGAAGGATAGAGCATGGAGCAATAAGGGTTTTTTTTAAATCCAATTTTGTTTCTGAGAGGAGTGTGGAGGAGGGGTAGTATCTCTAAATGCACAGGTTAACCTACTCCTGTTCGATTAAAACCATGCCACTGATCTCACCTCAGCAGTGGTGCATCAGGAGGCATAGTGGATGGGTGTTAACGCCCCAGTCACCAGGCAGATCTGACCCTGTTGCATAGAGCAGGTTGGCTCTTTGGTTAAAATCAAGAGAGGACAGAAGAGGAGAAGGCATGGAAGATAATTATATATTTTTTTTAAAAACAGAAGCAGCAGTTCAGGGCCAAATTCCTGCCAACTTTCAAGAGTGACCTAACTCTTTCCCTCCACTGACAGCACTGGTCCCTTGCCGCTCTGGAGTAGCTCCTGACACGGGCTGCCTCTCCTCAGCCTGCAGTGAGCATCTCTGCTGATCCATGGACCATATCCAGCCTCTATTTCCCTGACCAGCCAAAGGGGTTGGCTTGTTTTCAGTTTGAAAACTACAGCATGTTGAAGGATGCCAACCCATCCTCACAGTCTTCTTCTAGTCACCTCCCCTCCTCAGTTTGTTGTTTCAGGCTAGTAAATAACTCAGTAGCGCAATGAATGTAAAAAGCAACAAAACACACCAGTTTAAATGCCTGGCTTGCACAAGGAAATGGGCAGGTTCTCCTTAAGAAGCAGCCCGAGAGACGAGGAGAAGGTCCTCTGCTTACTGCCCCGCTTGACCCTCGGCTTGGACACCCCTTGGGCAGGTGGACGCCCTTACCTTAGTCCTGAAAGGGGTAACGGGCACATCTTTAGTGGAGACGCAAAGCAGCACGATGCCCGTCAGTCCCGCTATGATCACCAGCCAGGGGGGAAGGAGTTCACGCCAAGACATGAAGCGCTTTCTCCTTTCACAAAGAGTCAAAAGAGGAAGCAGCAGAGCAGCAAACTGACAGTGGCTGCTTTTTATAACCTTTAAAAAGAGGAGAAAGGCGGGGCCAGGGCCAGGCTCTGACTTCAGCCCAGCCCCAAGCCACAGGGACCACAAGGAACGCGTGGGCCAAGCTGCGATGTGTCAGGCATTTCTCCCTTCCATCGCTCCATGCAATAAATAAAACGACGGCTTCATGCCCGTTCCAGTGCTAGTTTTGCAAAAGCATCAGAGCAACCTCGAAACTGCCCCAGGCGATGGGGTTGAGGTAAACAGAAATGTGGGGTTAACTCAGCTGTGTAATAAGCAGAAAGCAGGCAAAACTCATCCGTTTGGTATTCTGCGCCTGGCAGTGCTAGCTGCCAAAATTAGAAGTGGGGAAACTCCTTGTCACTGGGTTTACTTTATATGTGAAGGCTCCAGGGTGGACCTGGGGTGCTTCCCTGCAAGCACGTGTCCATCAGGTTGGGGCAGAGTGTGGGCACTCTGCCTGGTTCCTTCAGACTGCTTCTGCCTCCTTGTTCATTCTCAGGTGGCACTGGGACAGGAAAACATCTGCACATTTGGGTTTCCACCGGCAGGAGACTCTGCTGGTTTGGTCTTTGCTGTGGGTAGGAGATGGCAGGGGCTGCTTGGGTCTTTTGCCCCCAGAGGGCCAGTGTCAGGATAGGTGCCTGTACACCCCTTCTTGACAGCCTCCCCATGAAAGATAACCAACCTTCAGACTTTACAAAACACGCGCCTGCTTTCTCCTTTCCGGTGCCACAGAGACACGTCTCTGAAACCAGAATTTCTGAAGAAAAATGTGTTAGTCTCAGGAGAGGTGCTTCTTTCAGGCTGTCTTCATCTGTGTCCCAGTGACTAGGTCTAGGAATAAAAGTGCAACTCCTTTAAAGAAATGTTTTTGTTTGTGTGAGCTGGACCATGTATTGGAAAGCCATCTTGTCCCCACCAGAGGACTTCACCAGCCAGGCCTCTGTCTCCAGAACTAAAGGACTGACACCTCCTTGGTCTTGCAGGGGTATTTGGAGACGCACCTGTCCATCTTAGAGTTGTTTTAAGCAAAGTGCCAGAATTCCCTCATCTTCCTGCAGACTTTAGACTCCAGTTCAGATTTTGCTGATCAGCAACTAGAATGCATCTGCAGATGTCCTGTAGTGACAGGACAAGGGGCAACGGTTTTAAACTGAAAGTGAGTAGGTTTAGATTGCATGTAAGGAAGAAATTTTTTACGATGAGCATGGTGAGACACTGAAACAGGTTGCTCAGAGAAGTTGTGGAAGCCCCATCGTTGGAAGTGTTCACAGCCAGGTTGGACAGGGCTTAGAGCAACCTGATCTAGTGAAAGAAGTCCCTGCCCATGGCAGGGGGATTGCACTAGGTGATCTTCAAAGGTCCCTTCCAACCCAAACCATTCTGTGATTCTTTGGTTTGCTTACACTTGGGCTGACAATGCTCTAGTTTGCAACCAGGACACAGATTAAATTGCCAGAGTGCTGACAGCCCTCCTCCCCCTGCTCTCACGTCTGCCTGGGAGGACAGGCAGGCTTTCACACACTTCGCTGGTGAGGATTTGTACAGCAGTTCAGCTTGCTGCAGTGCTGCAAACAAAACGGGTGCCCCAGGCATCCTCCTGTCTCAAAGAAATGCTGCATGTGGGATGCATGGAGCGGCTGCTTGCACTGTGGTGGTTGGCTGATTGCTCATGCCCATGGGCTGGTCACAGTAGTTTATACCAATATCGCGATATATCATGAGCGCCTAAGGATATCTGGCAGCTACGGAGGAGCTGCCAGATCCTGCCGTGGTCAGGCCAGTCCTGCTTCGCTCCCGCAGAAACCACCCGCTGGCAGAGCAGCGTGCACCTCAAACCATGCAGGGGTTGCTCCTGCAGCTGGGACACGGAGAGGGGAAATGGGGAAATGCCGGACCTGAGGACATTGCAGCAGCTCAGGGCTGGGAATAGCGGAGCGCGTCTGTTCTGTCATCCGGACGTCGGGTTTCGTGGGGGTCTGTCGACAGACCCAAGCGGTTTGGGGGGCTCTAAATCACATAGGTTTTGCCTCAATAATTATACTAACAGGTGGGCAGATGCCAAAGGGGTTTCTGCGATGGGTTGGACCGATGCAGCTCGATACAGTCCTGGCGCCTGGCTGCAGACCTCATGAAGGACAAATCAGGATTGTTTTCCCCTGCTCTGTAGCAGCTATTTTGACGTACGGGCCTGCAAAGGTCAAACCGTGACGGGGAAAGGCCACTTCTCCTTTGTGAGGCTGTTTTTGGTTGCATTTCTCGTTTTCACCGCCGTCCGCCAGGCCTCAGCCGAGCAGCGGCGGCCGCCCCGCCGGGGGGGGCGCCTCACGCAGCCGCAGGGACCCCCCTACTTGCTGCCCGGCTCCCG